ATATGTATATGCATAAATATGCCTACGGAAAATAATTATCTGTACTTCTATGTATTAAATAAATAAATAACCAATAAATAACTCAAACAATTATATTATAAATATTTGACTAACCTAATCTCTAAGTCAAAATTGTCTTGTAACAATAATGCTGAGAACTAAGCTATCACTGAAAATCGACTTATCACAACAAACTAACACTCAAAATTCATACTCAGCACTCTCGGAAATGCAATTTAAACATTAAGATGGGTGAGATGAGGGTAACACCGTATGACGCCACCTACAGGTAACAATCGGCCTTTTCTCCGGCTCACGGACCAGTTAAACTTCACTTTCACTACTAATGACAATTGAAAGATGTTCTTTGATCAAATCGGCAGGACTACTGTTTGTGGCAGCGATGGACTCAGCATAGTAGGATGCTCATCCACGGTCCGACTAAACATTCCTCCTACTTGTTGGTCAAGGCCACCTGTTCAATATATGAAAATTGTTAATACTTAGAATTTCAAGTACAATCTCCTGATTATTTAAATTTCTTATCGATTCTTTTTTTTATTTCTTTTATGCGAGCATCATTTGTTGCTACAAATGTGCTTCGCGGTGTTGTTTAAATAGGGTGACATTTGTTCTTATGTCAGCCTAGTTTTTCAATTGGGCGCCATTTGTTATGCCTTGCCTGTCGTAAGCACCAATATATCGCTCAGCCGGCTAGCTATCGGCTCAGGGGTAGTTCGACCGCGATATTTTGGGCGGCAAGTTAACAAAAAATTTGTATTCTATAAATAAAAATAAACAAATATTTCCATCAAACAAGTCCGCTCGCTGCTGTGTTGGCTGTGTGGATGTTGTACAGCCTGCGTGTCCCTCCCTTCCTTGTGATTCCTCCTCTAAATTTCCTGGAGAAATTCCCTTTCATAATTATTTCTTTCTCGTTTGCTTCTTATGCCCTCATCTTACCCAATCACATTGATTTACCACATCATGTTCCTTTTTTCAGACTATTTAATTTACAATTCATATGATACATGTAACATCGTGATCCCTAACCTTTTTGTTGGCCAACACTAAATTCGCTTATATATATTTAATACAATTTTATCTATCTACTTAATTTAAAGCTTACAAAACATTTATGTTTTTTTCTTTTCTATTATTTGGCTTTAAAAGTGCGCATCACTGATTGACAAAATGAGCATCACTATTGCCTTGGTTAGAGCCGATCAGCTGCCTTTGGCTCACTCTGCCGCAATTAGGCGGGAACAAACTCACTGATGTGTTGGTACAATCCGAGTCGTCTCACGGTCTCCGGGCTTTGATTTCCTGGGTCCTGAGTCCAGTTGGCCGATTTCCTCCTTGATGGTGGCGATGAATAGTTCCGCCTGTTGCTGCCGCCGATTTGTATGTTGGTATGCTTTTATTTTATTATTTTATTTGTAATTTTTACTTTTGTTTGCTATTTATTCATTTTACATTATTTTACTTTATGTATAATTACTTCATAATTTTTTTACAAGCAATTTATTTGAATTTCTTTAAAAAAAAAACTTGTCGCAGCGCATGCGCACGCGGTCCCTTTTTTTTCTTTCTTTTCTCCTTTTTTTCTTCTTCCTTTCTTTCTTTTTTTCCCCCCTTTTTCTTCCTATTTTTCTGAAGATGGTCCCCCATTGATATCCCTCGCCTATCGATCTATCTGCCGACCATAACACCACACTACGGTTTCGAGGTTCATTTCAGAGAAACAGGAGTGCAAAAGGAGGCTATCTTTGCCCAACGTATGCCATCGTCCACACCCTGGGATTAAGAGCCTCATGCTCTACCGACTGAGCTAGCCGGGCTCACACTGCAGCTGTAGGCCACATCTGTGATTTGGCCAATCGGGAACTCCAGAGGTACGCACATACATCCAGTACCAGTCTTTAGCCTGCCCGTTCACCAATCCATGGAAATCCCTCAGTACATCTGACCACGGAACTTGGTACAGTGACTGGAGATGTTCCAGCCGGAAGATAAATTCCGCCACCGGCATTCCCTTCGGGTCTCCGTCGAAGATCAGGCCCCACCTTCGGATGTGACTGCTCTCCTGCCTCGTATCCCCGATGCTCGTGCGGTTTCCTTGATAATGTCCACTCTCATTACCCGTTTATTGCATCCAGCACGATACGGGAACTTGTCGTTGTTAGGCTTGTTTCTGATGTTCCGATTCCAACGCTCGATTATCCACAAAAAGGTGAGTAGGTGCAGGTGGCCGATTAATTCTCGCCTATCTCGCTTCTTGTGAACTTGCATCGCTTCTCACTTTGTCCACTTTCAGGGATGAGATTACTTCCCTAATTTCTCGCATGAAACTTAACGTGCTGGCCTCCATTGTCTCTTTAAAAGCGCTCAATTCCTGCGACAGCGATGCTCTGTAGGTCTTGTGCGCTTGGGCTACCGCTATAGGCGACTTCAGCTCACTGGGTAGCTCCACTTCGCTCCTGGTTTGTTGCGTTGATGACGGGGTACCCGCTACATCGTCTCGGCTACGCATTCCGACTAGAGAAGTACTCTCCATTTCTTCGGTGGGTTTGGTATTTTGTGCACGGGTAGTTGGACGCATTTTCTCTTGCTCTCTATCCCTCTGAAAGTCCCCGCTGCGCCGCACTTTCCTCGACTGCCTGAATACCCCTTCGCTCATGTGATTCTTAATTTTCAATATGTTTCAACATTCAACAAAAAAAACGTATAATTATTTAACCCACAATTTTCATAATTATATGTATATAGATATGTATATGCATAAATATGCCTACGGAAAATAATTATCTGTACTTCTATGTATTAAATAAATAAATAACCAATAAATAACTCAAACAATTATATTATAAATATTTGACTAACCTAATCTCTAAGTCAAAATTGTCTTGTAACAATAATGCTGAGAACTAAGCTATCACTGAAAATCGACTTATCACAACAAACTAACACTCAAAATTCATACTCAGCACTCTCGGAAATGCAATTTAAACATTAAGATGGGTGAGATGAGGGTAACACCGTATGACGCCACCTACAGGTAACAATCGGCCTTTTCTCCGGCTCACGGACCAGTTAAACTTCACTTTCACTACTAATGATAATTGAAAGATGTTCCTTGACCAAATCGGCAGGACTACTGTTTGTGGCAGCGATGGACTCAGCATAGTAGGATGCTCATCCACGGTCCGACTAAACATTCCTCCTACTTGTTGGTCAAGGCCACCTGTTCAATATATGAAAATTGTTAATACTCAGAATTTCAAGTACAATCTCCTGATTATTTTAATTTCTTATCCATTCTTTTTTTTATTTCTTTCATGCGAGCATCATTTGTTGCTACAAATGTGCTTCGCGGTGTTGTTTAAATAGGGTGACATTTGTTCTTATGTCAGCCTAGTTTTTCAATTGGGCGCCATTTGTTATGCCTTGCCTGTCGTAAGCACCAATATATCGCTCAGCCGGCTAGCTATCGGCTCAGGGGTAGTTCGACCGCGATATATTGGGCGGCAAGTTAACAAATAAAATTTGTATTCTTTTATAAATAAAAAAAAAACAAATATTTCCATCAAACAAGTCCGCTCGCTGCTGTGTTGGCTGTGTGGATGTTGTACAGCCTGCGTGTCCCTCCCTTCCTTGTGATTCCTCCTCTAAATTTCCTGGAGAAATTCCCTTTCATAATTATTTCTTTCTCGTTTGCTTCTTATGCCCTCATCTTACCCAATCACATTGATTTACCACATCATGTTCCTTTTTTCAGACTATTTAATTTACAATTCATATGATACATGTAACATCGTGATCCCTAACCTTTTTGTTGGCCAACACTAAATTCGCTTATATATATTTAATACAATTTTATCTATCTACTTAATTTAAAGCTTACAAAACATTTATGTTTTTTTCTTTTATATTATTTGGCTTTGAAAGTGCGCATCACTGATTGACAAAATGAGCATCACTATTGCCTTGGTTAGAGCCGATCAGCTGCCTTTGGCTCACTCTGCCGCAATTAGGCGGGAACAAACTCACTGATGTGTTGGTACAATCCGAGTCGTCTCACGGTCTCCGGGCTTTGATTTCCTGGGTCCTGAGTCCAGTTGGCCGATTTCCTCCTTGATGGTGGCGATGAATAGTTCCGCCTGTTGCTGCCGCCGATTTGTATGTTGGTATGCTTTTATTTTATTATTTTATTTGTAATTTTTACTTTTGTTTGCTATTTATTCATTTTACATTATTTTACTTTATGTATAATTACTTCATAATTTTTTTACAAGCAATTTATTTGAATTTCTTTAAAAAAAAAACTTGTCGCAGCGCATGCGCACGCGGTCCCTTTTTTTCTTTCTTTTCTCCTTTTTTTCTTCTTCCTTTCTTTCTTTTTTTCCCCCCTTTTTCTTCCTATTTTTCTGAAGATGGTCCCCCATTGATATCCCTCGCCTATCGATCTATCTGCCGACCATAACACCACACTACGGTTTCGAGGTTCATTTCAGAGAAACAGGAGTGCAAAAGGAGGCTATCTTTGCCCAACGTATGCCATCGTCCACACCCTGGGATTAAGAGCCTCATGCTCTACCGACTGAGCTAGCCGGGCTCACACTGCAGCTGTAGGCCACATCTGTGATTTGGCCAATCGGGAACTCCAGAGGTACGCACATACATCCAGTACCAGTCTTTAGCCTGCCCGTTCACCAATCCATGGAAATCCCTCAGTACATCTGACCACGGAACTTGGTACAGTGACTGGAGATGTTCCAGCCGGAAGATAAATTCCGCCACCGGCATTCCCTTCGGGTCTCCGTCGAAGATCAGGCCCCACCTTCGGATGTGACTGCTCTCCTGCCTCGTATCCCCGATGCTCGTGCGGTTTCCTTGATAATGTCCACTCTCATTACCCGTTTATTGCATCCAGCACGATACGGGAACTTGTCGTTGTTAGGCTTGTTTCTGATGTTCCGATTCCAACGCTCGATTATCCACAAAAAGGTGAGTAGGTGCAGGTGGCCGATTAATTCTCGCCTATCTCGCTTCTTGTGAACTTGCATCGCTTCTCACTTTGTCCACTTTCAGGGATGAGACTACTTCCCTAATTTCTCGCATGAAACTTAACGTGCTGGCCTCCATTGTCTCTTTAAAAGCGCTCAATTCCTGCGACAGCGATGCTCTGTAGGTCTTGTGCGCTTGGGCTACCGCTATAGCCGACTTCAGCTCACTGGGTAGCTCCACTTCGCTCCTGGTTTGTTGCGTTGATGACGGGGTACCCGCTACATCGTCTCGGCTACGCATTCCGACTAGAGAAGTACTCTCCATTTCTTCGGTGGGTTTGGTATTTTGTGCACGGGTAGTTGGACGCATTTTCTCTTGCTCTCTATCCCTCTGAAAGTCCCCGCTGCGCCGCACTTTCCTCGACTGCCTGAATACCCCTTCGCTCATGTGATTCTTAATTTTCAATATGTTTCAACATTCAACAAAAAAAACGTATAATTATTTAACCCACAATTTTCATAATTATATGTATATAGATATGTATATGCATAAATATGCCTACGGAAAATAATTATCTGTACTTCTATGTATTAAATAAATAAATAACCAATAAATAACTCAAACAATTATATTATAAATATTTGACTAACCTAATCTCTAAGTCAAAATTGTCTTGTAACAATAATGCTGAGAACTAAGCTATCACTGAAAATCGACTTATCACAACAAACTAACACTCAAAATTCATACTCAGCACTCTCGGAAATGCAATTTAAACATTAAGATGGGTGAGATGAGGGTAACACCGTATGACGCCACCTACAGGTAACAATCGGCCTTTTCTCCGGCTCACGGACCAGTTAAACTTCACTTTCACTACTAATGATAATTGAAAGATGTTCCTTGACCAAATCGGCAGGACTACTGTTTGTGGCAGCGATGGACTCAGCATAGTAGGATGCTCATCCACGGTCCGACTAAACATTCCTCCTACTTGTTGGTCAAGGCCACCTGTTCAATATATGAAAATTGTTAATACTCAGAATTTCAAGTACAATCTCCTGATTATTTTAATTTCTTATCCATTCTTTTTTTTTTTTTTTCATGCGAGCATCATTTGTTGCTACAAATGTGCTTCGCGGTGTTGTTTAAATAGGGTGACATTTGTTCTTATGTCAGTCTAGTTTTTCAATTGGGCGCCATTTGTTATGCCTTGCCTGTCGTAAGCACCAATATATCGCTCAGCCGGCTAGCTATCGGCTCAGGGGTAGTTCGACCGCGATATAAAAAAAAACAAATATTTCCATCAAACCAGTCCGCTCGCTGCTGTGCTGGCTGTGTGGATGTTGTACAGCCTGCGTGTCCCTCCCTTCCTTGTGATTCCTCCTCTAAATTTCCTGGAGAAATTCCCTTTCATAATTATTTCTTTCTCGTTTGCTTCTTATGCCCTCATCTCACCCAATCACATTGATTTACCACATCATGTTCCTTTTTTCAGACTATTTAATTTACAATTCATATGATACATGTAACATCGTGATCCCTAACCTTTTTGTTGGCCAACACTAAATTCGCTTATATATATTTAATACAATTTTATCTATCTACTTAATTTAAAGCTTACAAAACATTTATGTTTTTTTCTTTTCTATTATTTGGCTTTGAAAGTGCGCATCACTGATTGACAAAATGAGCATCACTATTGCCTTGGTTAGGGCCGATCAGCTGCCTTTGGCTCACTCTGCCGCAATTAGGCGGGAACAAACTCACTGATGTGTTGGTACAATCCGAGTCGTCTCACGGTCTCCGGGCTTTGATTTCTTGGTTCCCGAGTCCAGTTGGCCGATTTCCTCCTTGATGGTGGCGATGAATAGTTCTGCCTGTTGCTGCCGCCGGTTTGTATGTTTGTATGTTTTTATTTTATTTATTATTTTTACTTTTGTTTTCTATTTATTTATTTTACATTATTTTACTTTATATATAATTACTTCATAATTTTTTTATAACCAATTTATTTGAATTCCTTTTTAATTCCTTCTCGCAGCGCATGCGCATGCGGTCCTCTCTTCCCCTTTTTCCCCCTTTTTTTTTCCTATTTTTCTCAAGATGGCCCCCCATCGATATCCCTCGCCTATCGGTCTATCTGCCGACCATAACAATGTACAATATGTAAAAATTTTGTAGTATTCCATTGAATTTAAATTCGTTCATTAAAATTATTTATATTACATTTTATGTTTAAATCTATTCCTGAATACCCCTTCGCTCATGTGATTCTTAATTTTCAATATGTTTCAACATTCAACAAAAAAAACGTATAATTATTTAACCCACAATTTTCATAATTATATGTATATAGATATGTATATGCATAAATATGCCTACGGAAAATAATTATCTGTACTTCTATGTATTAAATAAATAAATAACCAATAAATAACTCAAACAATTATATTATAAATATTTGACTAACCTAATCTCTAAGTCAAAATTGTCTTGTAACAATAATGCTGAGAACTAAGCTATCACTGAAAATCGACTTATCACAACAAACTAACACTCAAAATTCATACTCAGCACTCTCGGAAATGCAATTTAAACATTAAGATGGGTGAGATGAGGGTAACACCGTATGACGCCACCTACAGGTAACAATCGGCCTTTTCTCCGGCTCACGGACCAGTTAAACTTCACTTTCACTACTAATGATAATTGAAAGATGTTCCTTGACCAAATCGGCAGGACTACTGTTTGTGGCAGCGATGGACTCAGCATAGTAGGATGCTCATCCACGGTCCGACTAAACATTCCTCCTACTTGTTGGTCAAGGCCACCTGTTCAATATATGAAAATTGTTAATACTCAGAATTTCAAGTACAATCTCCTGATTATTTTAATTTCTTATCCATTCTTTTTTTTATTTCTTTCATGCGAGCATCATTTGTTGCTACAAATGTGCTTCGCGGTGTTGTTTAAATAGGGTGACATTTGTTCTTATGTCAGCCTAGTTTTTCAATTGGGCGCCATTTGTTATGCCTTGCCTGTCGTAAGCACCAATATATCGCTCAGCCGGCTAGCTATCGGCTCAGGGGTAGTTCGACCGCGATATAAAAAAAAACAAATATTTCCATCAAACCAGTCCGCTCGCTGCTGTGCTGGCTGTGTGGATGTTGTACAGCCTGCGTGTCCCTCCCTTCCTTGTGATTCCTCCTCTAAATTTCCTGGAGAAATTCCCTTTCATAATTATTTCTTTCTCGTTTGCTTCTTATGCCCTCATCTTACCCAATCACATTGATTTACCACATCATGTTCCTTTTTTCAGACTATTTAATTTACAATTCATATGATACATGTAACATCGTGATCCCTAACCTTTTTGTTGGCCAACACTAAATTCGCTTATATATATTTAATACAATTTTATCTATCTACTTAATTTAAAGCTTACAAAACATTTATGTTTTTTTCTTTTCTATTATTTGGCTTTGAAAGTGCGCATCACTGATTGACAAAATGAGCATCACTATTGCCTTGGTTAGGGCCGATCAGCTGTCTATGGCTCACTCTGCCGCAATTAGGCGGGAACAAACTCACTGATGTGTTGATACAATCCGAGTCATCTCACGGTCTCCGGGCTTTGATTTCTTGGTTCCCGAGTCCAGTTGGCCGATTTCCTCCTTGATGGTGGCGATGAATAGTTCTGCCTGTTGCTGCCGCCGGTTTGTATGTTTGTATGTTTTTATTTTATTTATTATTTTTACTTTTGTTTTCTATTTATTTATTTTACATTATTTTACTTTATATATAATTACTTCATAATTTTTTTATAACCAATTTATTTGAATTCCTTTTTAATTCCTTCTCGCAGCGCATGCGCATGCGGTCCTCTCTTCCCCTTTTTCCCCCTTTTTTTTTCCTGTTTTTCTCAAGATGGCCCCCCATCGATATCCCTCGCCTATCGGTCTATCTGCCGACCATAACAATGTACAATATGTAAAAATTTTGTAGTATTCCATTGAATTTAAATTCGTTCATTAAAATTATTTATATTACATTTTATGTTTAAATCTATTTCGATGAACTTAAACATATAGACAGATAAACAGATTTCTTTAAGTGGTATTATCAGTTTACAATTTATTTTGTAGATTTCATTTAAAAAGAATTGGGATATTTATATGTACATGTATATATTGAGCTTAGGTACTAAAAGACTTCATACTCAGAGATGTCCGAATACGATGAATATGTGTATATTTACAGGACTTTTATTACTTAGTATTATCACAAAGGCACATATGTATATTCGTTATGATTAAACATAGGGATTCCAATTGCTGCCGTCCTCGGGCAGCAGGTTATTCGTTATCAGCAATATCACATCGATGATCCACCAGACACCCACGCCGCCCATCGTCAACAGTTTGCCCACTGCGGTGCCCGTTTGTCCCAGGCAGAAGCGGTCCATGCCAAGGAAGCCAAGCAGCATGCTGTATATCAATGTGGTCACAAAGTAGTGATCCGTGTAGCGCACACACGGTACACCGTCCCGAAAGAAGGTCCTTGCGCCATAGCAATCGATGTCGGTGTAGACCGTGCACTGGACTCTTGTGTGCTCAACATCCGCGTAGAAGGAGCCACCGAAATGCAAACAGCCGTAGCCTTTCTCCTTCCATGCCGTCTCATTATTTCTATGATCGATAGGCTCCTTGCACTCCAGAAAGTCACGCGGCAAAAACGAGCACAGCACATTAGGCCCGAGAGGATTGAAATTGGACGATGCTTGGGAATTGGTGCCCGCCTGTGGCTGGGATTGCGATTGTACTGGCACAACGGATTGCACAGCTGTGCCCGAGACTACAGTTTGGGGCTGCTCCTTGTCGCTGCGCGCCTGTATGGCTTGCGTGACGGGATTAACGATTAGAAACGATAAAACCACGCTGTACACAATCAGTTTTCGCTGCATTGTTTGGTTTTTACAATATACTGCTACTTTTTGCACTGCTACTAGAGATAAGTGACTAGTGCACCAGAATAAACATCGCATTTATGCTCGATATGCAAATATATCGATATAACGATATATATATCTTGATGCGCGTTTCTATTAACCGATAAATATGAATAAAACACAAGGATAATATTTAGTGCATCCCAATCCAAACAATAATTAATCACGTTGTGAAATATTCAGGGGTTTTATTTAAGATATGAAATGTCGATTGATTCTATATTGACTGTTGTTAATTAAATATAAAAAATGAATTACATGCAAATATAATTTTGCACTTACATTCTTTATAGTCCACTGTTACATATTGAAATTCGAATTCTTCGCACAGGATTGTTTACAGTTTCGCAGCGAATGTCAGATTTTGTTTGTACGAAGCATCATCAAGTGGGAATCTAGTGTAATGGATATATTTGAGAATATTTGCCGCACTTGCGGTAACGACTGCTTGGAGGCCATGCACATATTCTTGGACAGTGTTTTGGTGCTGGAAAAGCAAGTGCCGATTTCGGAAATTATATTAAAATGTTTGCCAGCGTCTGCGTCGCTGCCGCCACTGAACAATGATGATGACTTTCCCAAGCAAATATGCCGCGTCTGCATCAAGAAACTGACAATGATCTACGAATTCAATACGAAATGGCTGGCGGCCAACAATGAGTTCAACGTGGCGCTCAAATTTGAACAGCGCCGGAATCGTTCCCGCTCTCAAACGCAGTCGCAGTTTAATCCGCCCCAGTTGCCAATGAAAGCCAAGCCGGCTGATGCGGCCGGTAATGTTACTGCAGCTGGTCAAATGGTGGTTAATGAACGTAAGTTTTCTTTTTTAAGAGATTATTAATTTAATATAATTCATATATGTTTGTTTTATTTCTTTTATAGCTAGCGACTTCATTGAAGATGTGAATTGTGAAACTGAGGTTAATTATCGGTGTGCCTTTTGCCCCGAAGGCTATTCCACGTTTGCTGCATACAGGATGCATCACAAAGCCATTCACCGGAATTGTCAATTCGTCTGCTATACGCCATAGCATCTGCATAAACTGAACTGAACTCATAGACACATAATTTAGTTTTGTTGTACTTGGCTATTTATATTGCGAAAAAAAAGAGGATAAAGATCGCAGTTGCACATCATTTTCATTTAATCATCTTCATCGGTGCGCACTTTCTTGGCACGCGGATCGTCGTGACGGAAGACAACGTAGCTCGTCTTGTAGAGGCGATTGTCTCCATCCTTGGCATAGTAGTTGGCCAAGCCAATTCCAGCCATAAAAATACCAGCGATGGCCAAAGCGGAGCCGCCAACAATATCGGGTATCTCGTTCCAGGCGCGCTTCAGCAAGGATGTTGTACCACGGGCAGTGGGTGCGGACATTGTGGGCGTCTTCTGCAAATAGTCGGTGTTTGTTGAATTATGCAATTATTTGGTAATTTCGTTATACTTATTGAAAATACGCGTTTCAATTACACAACAAGAGCAAGCCAGATGTTTAGCGATGTGCTATTTTTGACTACAATATCTATCGATGATATCGATATGTGATAGTTATATTGTGGAAAAATAGCTTCAATAGCTTATGTGATTTGAATTCGCGCGCCCAACAAAAATTGCCACTTTACGCTTATCGATTTGAATTAATTGTATTTAATTTTTTTTTTGGCGAACAATAACAGCTGTCATGTAAAATTGACAACAAATTTATGAAAAATCAGGATTAAATCTTGAAATTAAGACGTCAAATATTACAAAATATGTCGATTGTCCGGTAACAAGTTGCACTGCTTGCGCCTCATTACTCTGTTAACAGTTTGCTGGACACTTAACAGAATTTACTCCTCACTGAACATATTCACAATAGATTCAAGTGCCAGCACCGCCCATCTCTAATTCAATTCATAAGCTTATTCATAATTCATAACATCTTAAGGTTTCACGCAGCGACAAAAACAATATGACAGCTAAACCAGGACGCGCCCTACACTATGTATTCAAGATTGGCGATCGAGCTAAGAATGCATTTTTCTTTCGCAACATTCTGGGCATGCAGGTGAGATGAAAGCCTGAATCCCGGCTAAATGCAAGTACATCTACATATATATGTATATGAATATAAACACTAAGCAGACAGTATAGTAGAGGCGTCAAATCGACAACAAGTGCGTCAGTTGTTTTCTGAGTCTCTATCTCTGTCTCTGCCGAGACAATGATACCCACTAGACAAGTGTCTTTAGAAAGCAGAGCTACAATTGGCAATTCTACCTTGCAAAATATGAAAGTAGATTCTGTCGCATCAATTCTTGAAAGATACTCTAATCCAATCTATTTCAAATCTACAGCAATTCTTTTTTCTAACGAAAAATGGAAATCTTAGAAGGGGTATCATTGTCTCGACATGCGAAATTTGTTATTAGAACAGCCGTCTGCGCATTGTGAGATGATCCCGCTGAAACCTACACTTGTATGTTTCCCGATTCCGTGTGACCGGCGACAAACAAAGAATTGTTTGTCGAGACAAAGATACCCTGTTTTAGATTTGCACCATACATTTTGAGGGCTTCGGTTACAAAATTGGTTAACAGTTAAACCACCCCACTTTACATATATATCTGTAAGTATATAATGTATGTATTGATTATTACTAAGACTAAACAATCGCGACTGAATCATTTATCTAAAAAACAATGTGATTTGGCAGCACAACTGTGAAATAATCGCTTAGAAAACTAATTTTAGATAAGCAACAAATAGCAACAATGCAAAACTGTTCAGATTGATAAATTCTATACCCTTGGATATGATGGAACTATCTTCGATCCGTTCAAGTATATACGTATATATAGTCTTTATCAGCAATTGAGTTGATATAGCTATGTCCGTCTGTATGTCGATGAAACTTGTTTGCGGGTTTTCCTCGCTTTCATTTTTTGTAATTTTTATTTTTTATTGTTAGGTTTTGCGCCATGAGGAATTTAAAGAAGGCTGCGATGCGGAATGCAATGGGTAAATACGGATCAAGTTTCAAGATATCTTTATATATATATATATATATATATATATATATATATATATATTAATATTAATATTAATTCATATTAATATTATGAACTTCCTGTGCAGACCCTATGACAATCGTTGGAGCAAGACCATGGTGGGATATGGGCCTGAGCAGTCGCATTTCGTCATTGAGCTCACCTACAACTATGGCGTTAAGAGCTACGAGATGGGTAACTGCATCCAGCACTCAATTTGTAAATAACAAATAGTTGTGCTAATCACTTATGTATTTGCAGGCAATGATTTTGGTGGCATAACCGTACACTGCAAAGATATATTGGCACGTGCTGCTCAGCATTCGTATCCCGTTGGCAAGCAATGCGAGAGCAACGTGCTCACATCGCCAGATGGCTATAAGTTCTATATTGTTGATGTGACGCCCACTGTGGCGAATCCAGATCCCGTTCAGCAGGTGGAGCTGCATGTCACTAATTTGTCCGCCTCGCTCCAATACTGGAATGAGCTGCTTGGCATGAAGATTGTCAGCGAGACTAAAGAGTCCGCTTGGCTCAACTATGGCGAAAAACAAGCGAAGCTGCGTCTCACTCATTTGACTGATCCGCTGGATCGGGCCAAAGCATACGGACGCATTGCATTTGCCATACCCGCATCAACTCAAAAGCCATTGTTCGAGTCTGTGCAGAACGCTGGCGGCACCATTTTAAAGTCACTGATTACGCTGGATACGCCCGGCAAGGCATCCGTTACGGTGATAATTTTAGCCGATCCCGATGGGCATGAGATATGCTTTGTGGATGAGGAGGGTTTCTCTCAGCTGTCACAGGTCGAACCTGATGGCAATGCACGGCTGGACAAGTACATTGCTAAGGATCCCTATCAGGATTAGGAACAGACATGAGCCATGCTATAACTTTTTCTAATACTTCAACATACAAATTATAGAATCGTGTTTTTTTTTTTGTTTTGAAATATGTATACAATTTTGATAATGTTACGGTTGAGGGTACGAGTGTGAAATATATTTACATATGTATATTTAAAGTAAAATGTGCAACTTTTTAGATGTAGCCAATCGGCCAAGCAAGGGTTGTAACACGCCTGATCTCAATCGTATCGAGAATGGAGATACCCTGTAATGTTGTATGCATATAAATATGTTTTGTTTGTTGGTCAAAGCATTCTGGCAAATGTTTATTATGAAATTTATTTTTGAATAACATTCTAAAACGATTTTAGTTTCGTTTAAAACATTTTCGCTTTTAGCTGTTTTCTATTTCATTTTGTTTTACGTGATTTATTTTGGAGAGTTTTACATTTAAAATCACCAATGAGCGACATTCAGTTAGATCCATCTGTGATAGTGCTTAAATTGCCACCGTGGGATATAAATGGTTGGTCCTCGCAAGAGCGTCGCTCGGTTTACCGGAACTGGGCGCTGAGATATGCCCAGACACGTAATTTTACAGTCGCAATGCATTATTTTGATAAGTGCACCCATGATATGGACAACAATAAGACATTTGCGGCCTTGTGCATGCGGAGTAAGTTTAATCGGGAAATAGCACAGCCGCAAGAGGCACTCGAGGATAGCAAGAAAGCCGCTACGATAGCATCAGGGAGTGCCTTAGTCAATCTGCAGATAGCCGATTGTATGATCTCAACAGGTTTGAGGACAACAAGCTGACGCTGCATAATAATGTGCGACATAAAGTCGGAATGCCCAATTTACAGTTTGAATAGCGTCTGCTGTGTGTCAACAATAATTTCCAGGATAATGTCGGCGCTAGTGTGGGTCCATTTTTTCTCAAACACTCGTCCAAAATTAGTTCCATCCATGGTGAGATACTGAAATCCACAGCGCTAGTGGAGGCAATTCCTCACTCAAAGATCACTTCGTATCAAAAGAAATGCGAGGTTGAAAGTGTAGTGGTTATGCCGGCCGAGTTAATTTCGCCATTGGATGCGGCTCGACGCCAACGTAAAACGAAAATCTTTCATCAAAACTATCTAAATGGTGCCTGGAAAGCACTGCGTCAGAACCCCATTGTTCTCTTGGACAAATATTACAATTTAGCCAACGAACGTAAAAATTATTTAAGTGCTACATACAAGCGTGTCCAAAAGTTCACTCGAATGCTCCACGCACGCAGTCCCATCTACAATGCGGTCCATCGTCGCTGCAGCAATCCAGAGGTCTTGGAACGCTTCCATCTGACAAACATATATCGCATTCAGTACCAGACGCGTCGCAACATGCTATCCATATTGCGAAATATTCGAGACCTACGCGCCCAGAACGACACTGTGGTGAGTTGTCAGTGGGTGGATACAATATGAACAGGTTGCTTCTAGTAGCTAAGAAAGAAGAGCGTTACTCAAAAAAGTACACTTTTTGTGTACGGTTGCCAACTTTCCATTAGACATGGGTAAAAGGGTATAATGAAAGGGTCTCCGACCCCATAAGGTCTATTAGATATTATTGAACAATCAGATCTCGGGGAGAGCTGTAATGTGGCAATTTAACTGGAAATTATTGTATAATCGAGCTCTCTCGACTAGAGCATTCTTATATGTTTTGCTGTGGTTCAAAGTCTCTCCCAGTCGATTTCTCTCACTCTTACTTAATGAAATAAGTTGAAAAATTATTATTTTGATATTCCGTGTTTTTTTTCGGTGTAGGGCCTGCGAAAACTGGTATCGAAAGTAATGGGCGACTACAATGTGCTGAAGACGAGAAGGGTAAAGCCGTGGCAAATGAACTTTATGAACGAGGTTTATAATCACTTGGCACTGAGCTTGTGCGAGAACTTTCGCATGCCGACATATAGGGTGTCCCCATACGATAATGACGCAATGTGCCGTCTACTTGGAGTTCTGTTGTGGAAACCTGCCGAGCCCCAGAGCATTGTCTTTGGGAATCGTGCCACCTACGCCTATGAGGATGCCGATACTGCCTTCGAAGAGGCCAAAGTATTCAGGTAAGTTTCCAGCAGCTATATATCCATTCTATTATTGCTTCTGCATGCTCATCCGTTAGGCGGACCATAAATGGTCTTTCCAAGCGTTTGCATTTCGCCCGTCTGCCGATGGAGCGTAGCTATCTGTTGCATGAGCTAGCCGACATCCATTTGTCGCATAATCATCTAGTGCAGTGTCTGGACTATGCGACAAGGTCCGTCGAGGAGGCGGCGCGCAGTGCCAACATCAAGATCTGGGAGTTTCTGGCCACGATGTTGCAGGTAAAGGTGCATGCGATACTCGGCAAGTACGAGCGTCTGGCGGATGTTCTCAATAATGCCTACCGTTTGGCCATGGATCTCAAGGCCACCAATCTGTGCACATTCATCGAGTTCTGTCGCATGCTCAACATGGACTCCATAACGCTGCGTAAAATATCCATAGTGATGGCTAACAAACGGCGCCAGAAAATATCAAGTCGCTCCAGCTACAACACTTTATCGCCGGAAACGCCGGATGCGGATGTGGGTGTGAACGCAGTAAATGTGGCCTAGTGGAGCGAGTGGTTGTACGACCGTATGACCCTGCGGGACTTCCCCGTACACATAGCAGAGTGCACCAATCGCTCCTCGAAGCCAATCACTGTCGGAGACAAATATTATTATTATTTTATTAAAATTTCTAAAAAAAAAAATAAAAATTATGAAAAAAAAATCAAATTATGCAAAGTTCAAATCAATTTGTTTATATGCAGAAGAAAGAAGAAAATTACAACTAAAATGAGTATATACATTTATTAAAAACATATTCGTATGTAACAGGCAGAAGAAAGCATCTCCGGCTCCAGAAGATATCTATATGTATATTCTTGAACGTGAACAATTGTCGCGTTGGTATAGCCTTATCTATTTGTCCGTCTGTATAAACAGGCAGATCTCAGAGACTCGTGCTCGTGTATTAAGTTTATTTAATATTATCGATAACTGATTTCGTGAATATCGATGCTAATCGATTTTCGATGGCAATAAAAGCTATAATTTTAAAGGCACGTATACATAGTGCCTGTCCCGACCATAAGAAGTGAGAGCATTTCCATGCATGCTTACTGAAATGTGAAATTTAGAATTTAGTTTTTTTAACAGGGTATATAGTAGTGAGCTCCCTCGACTACAGCATTCTTGCTGATTGTTGTTGCACGTAAGCTAAACTTTTTACCACATGCAAAGTTCTGGCAAAGTCGCCAGTCGCCCCCTTCAACACATCCACTTGCCTCCACACACCTGAATGCAGTTAAGTTTATCGCATTTGGCGCGAATTAATTTAAAGGAAAAATGGCAACTTGATAAGCTTACTGGCGCTTAAAAAGTATTTGCAGTTTCAAATTTAAGTAATTATTTAAATTGCAGTTGTATAAAAACACAATTACTACGGGTTTCTTGACGTCGCATCGCGTTAATAATTCTAAAGCTGGTGATAACTGGTGATAAATAAAGAACGGTTTTCTTCGGCACACCGAAGATTACATACCCTGGCAAGGATGTTGGGTAGTTGCTTTCATCCTTCCACTATAAATGTACAAAAACCGACCGATTGGAGCTATATGAAATAGCAGTCTGATATTGACGAATTGTTGTCCAAACTTGGAATGTTAATAATATGCATATTGCGACAAATTGTTTAACAAAAAAGTATTATAAATGTATAAAATATATTAGTCTGATTTCGATGCTTTTTGTTGGCAATGTTAGAAGCATAATAACACGGATAACTGGTGAGTATTTTTTTTCAGATACTGACATATGTACTGCCTACAGTAAACAGATGTCAAAACGATTAAAAAGAGAGAGAGAGTGATACAGATATGGCTATATAGTCTCGGCTAGTGATATTGATCAACAACATATATATATATATATATATATATATATATATGTATGTGTCGTGACGCTTGTAATTCACCTCATAGAGTATATATATATACATATATACATATACTCTATGAGGTGAATTACAAGCGTCACGACACATACAATTTGAATTGATGAATTTAGTTATAGGAAATCCGTTAATTTGCAATATATCCCGCCCATTGATTAAAGTGTCGATTTGTTACTGTTGCAGCTACTGCTATGAAGGCATTGAAGCACGTACAACAATTTTGTTCATTATGCCATATTAAAAACGATTGTGTGTAGTTTATGTTATGTACAACTTTCTCACTTTTTAATATTTATTAGTATGCCAAATGCAATGCACTTGACTCCATTCAATTTAATACGCCCTTTCGCCTTCCCCTCCCCGTCACTCCCTCTTCTTTCCATCACCCACCGTCTGCCACCCTGTTCAAGTGGCAGCTAAATGGGGACTTGTTTTTCATCGATGAATTGTCGCTGTTTGCTGGCCCCAAACGACCCAAAATGGTCAAAAACGACTCTGACGAACGCTTCATTTGTCGCATGCAACGCGGCCGCAAATATGCAAAAGACCAAAATGCGTCAATAAATGCAGAATGCTACACTTGCAAAAAGAGGCAGCCACGAATGAAAAATGTGCTGAAAAAATTTTATTGTGTCAATGCTGGCCAATACACATTCACTCAGCGAGACATACAGAGAGCGAGATAGAGAGAGAAAGACGAAAAGAGAGAGAGATACATAGAAAATGCTTTCACAGGAGAGCAAGGCGGAGTGAAAGAGACAGAAAAATAAATAGCGAACGAGAGAGAGAGAGAGAGAGAGAGAGAAAGAGAAAGAGAAATTGGGTTGAGTTGGCAATGTCCCGATGGGCCAAAACAAATGCAAAATGTGTTCCACTCTCTATACAAGTACTTACAAACACACACATTTATATATATATATATATATATATATATATATATATATATATATATATATTGTATGTGCTCAGTAGCTCATTATGACAGACTTGTCATTAAAAATTAAAAGAGAAGACAAAAAAAAAATAAAATAAAAAAAAACACATACTGAGCGAAATTGTAAAATAGCAGTAGTTTAGTATTCAACATTTTTTTTTTTCTTTATATCACATTTTTTCTACGAAGTGGTTGAGCTTGACATTGCCTTAAACTTGTAATTTTGAAAGTAACTTCATTAATGTACAAAATATAGGAGACTCTTTTTAGTGGGTTTTATTGGCTTTAATTTGAAACATTATGCTAGCCACAAGTCAAGTAAGTTTAAATCCAATTAACGTTAATAAAAATGTGAGTTCTTTGCAATATTTGTAAGACTCAAAAGCATTGTTGCCCAGTTGTAGCAGTTTAGTTCGCTAGAAGTCAGTGCTGGTAAAAAGCAGCAAAGAACTTGGCGAGAGCCAATCGCAGACACAGAGTCCAGTCCAGTCCAGTTCAGAATGGCTTCGTTTCGTGCCTTGCACTTCAAACTGTTGCCAAGAATTCTGGCAAACGACAACAACAACAATAAGGCATGCCACCTGCCAGTTATGTGCACAAAGCGACAACCTTATTGGCCAAAATTGAGGTCAACACAAGAAGGTCGTCCCGGCTCGGCTCGGTTCTCAAGTCGATTCAAGTCTACGTTGCTAATGGTAACTGTGACGCTCTGACGATGACGCTCTCACGATGACGGTGATGGCCACGATAACAGCACAGCACAAATAATTGGCCATGGCAACCAAAAAGCCAAATTGCATTGAACGTTAAGTTTTCTTTTGAGTGCAGTGTGCAACAGCCCCAAAAGCAGCTGCCAGACCCAAAAGAACTTGCAAATGATAGCATACTCGTACATATATAATATACATACATAAATATATCATAAAATCTGAACAATTTATTACCTTTCTACACAGCCTGGACCTGACTTGGCTGCTGCGGCAATAGCCGTGAAGTTTGCATAAACATTTTGATCGGCACATTCGACTTTCTTTGATAGAATCTCAATTAAAAGCTTAAAAGATTTTGACTACAGTCACATTTTCTGTCAATAAAAAAAATATACCCATAGAGATAGGCAAGTAAGAGAAAAAAGAGATATAAGTAATTGTTCCAAAATTGAGTTTAAATGAAGCTTTAGTATCTTACCATGTTCCAAATATTTTCGTTCGTTATTTTGATTCTATATGAACTAATAATATGGGTTACTGTAACTGATTATTAAAAATGTGTTGAGTTGCGCCTTCGATTCAGAAATTCAACTGGTAAAGTTGTGGTTTTTGTTCCGATTTGACGCACTATTTCCCTTAACTTGTCCCTTTTTTTATAACCTTATTTTCACAATTTTTATAGCATATGTAATTCGGAAGTATGGGTGTGTGTATGTGCGCGTATGTTTTATGCTGGCTGTTGTGATTATTGGAGCGAGGTGGGAAAAGTGAACTACTAATTTACGACTGATTTATAAGATTGATTAGTTGTTGGAAAGGCTCTCCAAAGGCTGCAGGAACTGTCGACCCTCCGCTAAATTAAAGCGGGTCTATCAAAAGCCTTAACAAAATAACGAAAATTAACAAACAACGATACACTTTGCCAAACTATTTTATACCCTTTAATATGTAATTAACAAAGAACGATGTGGGACAATTCAAATTAATATTCAACATCATCTTAATAGCTGCAATATTTTGATTCTTATCCAAGATTTAGATATTTATCTAAGAGAGATCTGGCGTATAAGCCATATGTCAAGCATACAATTACATCAAGTATACGACTCATTTGACAATTTCCAAAACATCAATCAATTTGCATATACCCCATATAGCTAACGCATATAAGGGATATATAACAAGTTTGAAGTAGACAGAGCTCGAATGGAAGATACGCTGAATTCAGCTGCTAAAAGTATATTAAATCGATTAAAACAAAGACTCAAATTATATTATATATACGACTACTTTTATTACAAATTAATATCAGCTTTTGATGCTGATCAAGAATAGATATATTTTATGTCAAAGTGCTTTCTTCTGCGTGTTAATACTTTTGCACAACTTCAATATACCTTTTTCCCATTGTGAATGAGTTCAGGGTATACAAATATATATATATATATATATATATATATATATATGCAACTAAACCATCAAAATGAATGCGAAAAATGTTGAAAACAAAAGCAAAGCACATACATATGTACATATGTATGCATATAGAAATAGTAGGTGGGCGTGGCATTTAGTGTTCATTTAGTGTTCCCCATAGGCGCAATGCAATAAGCAATGGACCCCACCAAGGTGCCATTAGCTAAAATAAACAATAATCTAGAAAGGAGCAGCTGGCTTGAGCGATGTGGATGGATGCAGCAAAACAAATAAAATTAAATTATTATGTAGAGTGCAAATAAAACTCGAGTACTTAGCATGCAAATCGAATAACAAATCGGCAGCAGACACCACAACACACTCCACACACACAAACACACACACATATAAATGCAGGCAGGCAGAGACATAGGCCAAGTTGGGGGCAGCCATAAAACGTTATGAGTAATCATAGACGCATAGCTAACAATAAGAACAAGAATGTGCAGATACATTTACGCAGTGCCGAATTTGAGATACACTTTTTGATAGAAATGAAACTATCTATTCAAAATAGGCTGTCAAATCGAATCGTATTTCAGTAACGATTCCGGTACGTAATAAGTGTTATGAATTCGTTTCAAATTTGTGTCGTTAATGAATTTGATTTCGTTAATGAATGATAA